TAAAAAATTGGAAGTTTCTGAGGTATTTGTATAATAAAGGAGTGATACAAAGGTATGCAAGCCGGTTTAGTCAGTGCAAACCCAAGATAAGTCTTTCAGAATCGCAGAAAGCCACAGGACCAATACAGTAGTAGAGCGCTCGCTTAAGAAGTTCTGAATAGAGAGGTAGTACAGATCTTTGACAATACTACATGCAGATTAATACTTGAAGAACCGGATAAACTGAACGGGACCAAAGTGTTCAGCAAGGCACTCCACCAATCAGGCCACTGGAGAAGTAACTGGAGGAAAAAGACCCAATTATGGGGACCAGGGGCAGGTTACAGCCCTTCTGGACCATCTGGATTAGTAGTTTGGGATAGCTGAAAAACTAGAAAAAGTCTATAGGTGTACCGGAGTTTGGGTGAACTCTATAAGGGTGGTAGTAGGTAACTGTAACGACCTCAGCTCACAAGTACTTGTTCTCAGACTCAACATAAGTTACTGAAGAAGACTAAGCAATACAGGAATAGTAGGTACCGGACTGCTTTAGCAGGTGATACACTTGAGAATGAATCAGTTAATCATGCCAGTAGTCCTATAGATGAACGCAATGATCTTAGAACTTGGACTGACTTATATATCACATGTTCTGAGTGAGATTAGATGGATTGACATAGGAAACTCAGATCAGAAGGTTTAATTAGGTAATTCAAGTAATAGTGGGTTACAGATGCAGCATCTAGTGTAGCACCTAGCACATAGGTAGAATACTTAATTAGGCACCCAAAAAATGCAGATATGGCTAGAATATATCCTTGTCAGAATGTACTTGTCTGGGACCCCTTTGAAAAAGGCACCACATGATCCTAATATCTAATAAAACCGATAAGCCAAAGAGGCTAACCTTGACTACAAAAAAAAAAAATCAACTATTGTATACAAGTGATTATTCGAGAAATACTGGACCAAATCAGCTGAAATTTTTATATTTCATAGATGAGTATCGAAACTAACTATAATAAAAATTTGAGCCGATTTGGATCACTAGTAATCAAGATATCCATCATCAAATTTTGAGTAAAAATAGTGAATTTTTTAATCGATTAAAAGTCTATGATCGATCAAACTTTATAATTATTCAAACTATATGATCGATCATGATCGATCATGATCGATCAAAAACTTTCATAATCGATCATAATAATTTTGACTGAGCAATCGATCATATCAGGTTCGATTCCCATCTCTACACTAGAATGATAGTATAATTTATCGGCTAATTTTTAAAAAAAAAAAAAAATTTAGATTATATAAGAACCAAAAAATTAATTTTGGATAACTTTATTTTTAAATTTTATTTTTTTTGCTATGCTCACACTCTTGCTATAATCACATATTTTTTGGGGCCCAAAGGTGTGACTATAGCCAGGGGTGACTGTATCACTAATTCAAACTAGAAATACAAATATTTTTTCTTATATTAAATTTGAATAGCAAATTACAATGTTTGGATTATTATTCAGAAATACAAAATCAAATATTTACTGTATATGAAATTTTATTTTTATACAACGGTTATGTTTAAAAATACGCTAAATTGGCAAATATATTGTAAAAATACTAACGCTAAAAAGCTTAACACTTAGATTTGAATGAATTTAATTTTAAACCAAACCAGATTTAATCTAGATTTGAAGCTTAGCGTTAGTTTATAAAAACCGAATTCTTAAGTTCGCAAAATAGAACCTAAAATGTGGAACCTAAATTGAACCTAGATTATTCCTAATTTCTAGATCAAGGTTATAAAACCTAGATTATTACCCATTAATGTATATCAAATCAATATATATACAGTATATATATATATATATATACACTGTAATATATACCTTTCGAACTGAAAATTCGTGTAACAAACTTGCATAAAGTGGCATAAAATTTAACACAACTGACAAGAGTATCCTTGCATATATGCACAATTAATAAACGAATTTAATTTCCATTGATAACGAAAATAAATACACATAATTTTTGTATTAAAACTATAACGATAACTATACATAATTTTGTATTAAAACCAAGAGGTAGTGTTATATTAAATTGAAAATTCTATTGGTTTTGGGCAAAAAAAATTAAAGGACAATGTTGACAACCTTTATACGTATAATTGCTGTACAAACAGATTAACGGGACAAATTAAAATAAATACCATTATACATAATACAATTATATATCTGCAAATATATTATTTAATAAAATTATTAAAATTGACCAGATCTAAAAAGTATAACAATGTTTACACAACAAAGTTTCGTGTATTTGTATTATTAGATGCATAATGATATTTGTAACATATATTGATCGGTTCACAATATGAGTTTAATGGCTAATTATTCTGGACATAAGACGATATATGACGTCATTTTTAAATGACGTAAAAAAAGTACATCTTAATAACAAGAAGTCTCATTTCCAGCCAATTGTACAAGCACATTCTTAAAAGCAGCGAAATTTAAATACTGAATATGAAAACAATATACTCTATAACATATCAAACATTAGTTTCATTTTTCTGTAAAAATAAACATTCGCCATCTAGACAACACATAGATAGAAATTATCAGAAAATTGATAAGCAAATCTATTATACAATTAAAAGAAGCAAAATATGCAAACACTTATTCCCAATATCTAAGAAGCCTATTTTAAGGCAAATAATTATAAAAGTTCCTTTGAATAATAAAAGAAAAAAACCAATTGCAGTGTACTTAAAAATTAAAACCAATTATAAATAGATAAATCTTTTTGTTTAAACCACCAATAGATAAATTCTCACACATGTCCCATTACCACAGAAAATTTTAGGGTCGATGAACTAGAATTTGAAATAGCAGAAGCAGAAGTGTCATAATCACGAACATCCAAGAGATAGTCATCTTGACAAAGACTTGAACTTCGCCAACCCTGAAATAATAATAAAAATATAGAAACATAAATAATTAATTGACTAATTAATTGACTAATTAATATTAATAAGACTACTACTAACCCAACTTTGCATTAAAGCAAAATTATCTGGACTACTCTGAAATTGAGTCAACACGTGACTAGGACCTCTTGATGGACAAAATATCTTAAACCAAGTCCTAACGGTTTTCCTTTTATCGGCATATCTTGAAAAGCTCTTATCACCATTCTTCATTAACATAGATTGACGAGTTGAAGAAGCAAATCGTTCATCTGAGGGGGAAGATGTAGGGCTTTTGTTTAGGGGAGATACATTCATCAATGAAGAGGCACTACTATTATTACTACAAGGTGATGAAGGATCTGGCATTGAATGACGGTGCAAGTATACACCAAGTTGTATTCCTTTACGAGGGGTCTTTATTTTTTGGATATACATATTCCAATTGGATCTATATTGAATCAAAAATCATAATTAAGAAATTATAACCATTAAAACATAGGAACATGAAAATTATAAATATTAAAAAAACACCAAGCATATACATATACATATACATATATATACTTACCCGGCATAAAATTTTGTTCCAGAATATACTCTCTGTTTTTCTTTCAATTTAGCGACATCCGCAAATTCAACGCTGAATCTAAAAGGAGCAAACAGAGAATACTCTACACTTCCTCTACCTTCACCATCTTTCATTGCTTTTGTTCCACCACCAATCATATCTTCCAATCCAGTAAGAGCTTCACCTATATGAGTAGTATCATCAGAAGGAATTTCGAAATGTACACCCGTTGAACTTGTTAATATTTCAGAAGAAGAAATTCCTAAAGTGACATCAGTTTCGGTAGCATTTTCGATTTTATTACGAAGATCAATCTGCTGCCATAAAGCATCTTTTATTACATAATCGGGAGAGAATGGGACACCAGTTGTAGGGTCACAATCATGTAATATAGAATTTAATTCTTCAAAAGTCATATGACTATAGTAAATTGCATAGGTAAAGATAGCGTTGTAAATAGATTCATCACTCTCCACTTGCATAGCTGAAGACGTCGCAGAACATACAGAACTTATGGTACTAATAGAAGCAGAACGCCTAGTATGATAAGAATAGTTATCCATAAATCGTTTATTTCCAGATGGAGAAGTAGGTGTTGTTGGAGAAATTGGAATTGAATTTTCAGAAGGTAAATTATGTAAATCCGAAATTTCAGGATTTGACAAGGAAGTAACAACACTTCTTCTTTTTCGTTCAACCAAAATTTTCCTCCTCATGCTAACAATATCACGAGCAAATAAATATCTTTCATATTCACCGGGAACCCAAAAAGCATCACTTTCTACGACTCTCTTTAACCATTCAGCAGGTAAAGATAAAAAGGCGGATTTAAGAGTTAAATTATCATAACCTTCTCTACAAAGATAAGTGAAACAAGCTTCTGTAATCTTTTCAGAATGAGAACCATAAAAATGGGTGGTAGCAAAAGTGAGATAATTAACCACGGTATCATCTTTTATATCTCTTAATATAACATCGACACACATTTCGCATAAATCTTGTAAGTCAAGAAAAGAAGCGGTAGCGAGAAGACTTAATACTTGAGAAGGTAAGATGATTTCATCCAATCTACCGTATAAACGACCCAAAGCTATTTCAAAAGCTTCACGAGAGATATTTTTATCATCAAAACGTAATTCTATAGCTTTTGCACCATTTTCTTTCCAAGGACCTTCCAACAAAACGGAAAAATAAGTATTTTGATAAAGAATTATTCTGTGTAAATGATAATCTTTATCAAAAGCTCTAATGGTAACATCACTTCCACTTCCTTCAATCAAACCCCTTGAATAAATATGTTTACATAAACTCATCATTTGACGTAAGACTCTTTGAGGATCTTGAGCAGGCGGCGGATAAGCAGAAGAAGAAACAATATCGTTAATGTAGTCTCTGGTGTTCCCACTCTCCTTCTGAGTAGAAGTTAGGAGAGGGGACATATCGAAGGGAGTAGAATGTTGTAATTGTTGAGCCGCAGTTGTAGCAGCGTTATATAAGGTAGTATTATCCAAAGCGACAGAAGTAAAATCTTCAAGTAGTTGTGAAAATTCGTTGTCTATGATGTCTAGTTTGAAAGGGTTTGAAGTCATATGGTAACCTTAGGTCCCAAGGCTTTTTTTTTTTTTTTTGATAATTTTATTCCAGTTTCTCAAAAAAAAAAAAATTAATGATATAATTCAATGTTCTTACGTAAAACTATTCTTTCAAATCCAGTTATATTATTTATACCTTCATATTCTTTAAATAAAAAGTTAGGAAAATGGTAGGAACATAATAATATTTTAAAAGTTGAAAAAAAAAATAAAAGAATGAAAATAGTGAGATATTTATGCAACGAACTTTATTTAATATATAATATTTTTCTTTTTCTAAACCGCCGCTCGAAGTAGAAAAAAAAAAAATAAATAACAGGTAAAATAAAATAAAATAAATAAAAAGTGTATTGAACAGTTAACTGTCATTAAACTTCGCTCAAAATTGGATTGGATAAAGAACTGCAGGTGATGTGAGGTGATCTACCACAACCTACCGAAATAGAAAAGTCGTTAAACAAAAAAGTTCAGCAGTCACATGATTGTCTTGCATGTAAATTCGAAATGGAAGAAAAAAGAAACCTTGTTCAAAAATATGATGGAAAGGTGATTTCACAATATAGTACCTATAACTCTAACCTAATTATTCTAATTTATTCTAATTATTCTAATTATTCTAAATTACTGAGTTATCATATATACTAATTTTAATGACGCTAGTGCGTTAATAGACAAGATCATGTGATTACTTAAATCCAACAATTACTGTGTTCTATTCGATTATACCAATATTGCTCGATTAATATACATGACGTAGACTATTGTGAATTACCAAATATTTTCGGCAATTTCAATGCCAAAATATTTTGGAAGTGCATCAATCGTTTCAATTCCATGTATACTGCCTGCAACTTTTACCAGAGACTGGGGGAACAATTAACATTCAGGAAAATCCTATTTGATATTGTTTTCGCTTTTATTTTCGTGATGCTTTAAAAGTTCCTAGGCGTAAATAATGTGGCTTGTATTCTGCAGGCGTTCCCAACAAAAGTTTTTTTTTTTGATTTCCCTATACCGATACTATTTTGGTGAATGTTGTAAATCATAATTCTCTAATGAAGATCTATTTCGCTGATTTGGCAATTGTACATTGTATTATTGTCATTATAATTTTACTAAACCGTTTTTATATGCTAACAATGATAATAGTAATAATACAATGGGATTTGTTGACGAATTAAGCGAATTTTTCCTATAGTTTAACAGTTAAGTATATGTTCTTGTTATGTGAAGTATTAAGTGATATCGTATTATCGTTATAGTCATTATGCAAATTTAGTGGTGCATAAATGTGAAATGTTTCAATCATGTTAGAACTTGATTATGTCACATTGTTTGAACGAGCATAAATATTATAAAGATTTGATATTTTAATAACTGTATCTAAAAGGATTTATAATAGCAATATTATTAACTGATTTAATTTTAAAAACTTAATATGCGAAGGAATTCATTTATCGCATGTGTATAGAGGATAATGCCCAAGAATACTACAAGAACTTAACACACTTAAGTAATAGTTATTAATAAAAATTTATGAAATAATATTAGCCATAATTAAATATTACGTACTACCAAAACCCCAGCCCTAGAATTAAATTAAGGTTAGATTAAAGTTAGAATTAGGGTTAAGGTTAGGGTTAGGGTAAAGTAAAATTGTGAGAGGACCATTTTTGCTTATGTTATACGACAGGGTTACCTTAGTAAAATTTCGAGATATCATCAAATTTATAAAATATGGTTACAAAACCATGGCTACAAATATATTGTTCCAAAGTTTATTTAAATTTAACATAAGGCCACACAAATTTAATGTCTTGGTTTTCATAACATGAAATTTTAAACAGACCCGGCCGGCCGGCCGGCTTATTTCATATATATAAAAGTTTTATAAAATTTTTTTTAAAAAACTCACCCAGTTATTAAAACATATAAAAATGTTTTTTTTTACAAGTTTTCAAATTTTGACCCGGTCAGGTTATGAAAACCAATGAATTAATTTTGCATAGCCTAAAAAGATAGTCTTGAACAAAAATGATTCTATTTACCGTATAATTTGATGGGTCCGTATTATTTCACCGACAATCACTTCACCGACAGCTCATTTAGCCGACATCACGCCAGGTGAAATTTAGTAAAAATATATACCTGCAACTAATCAAATGCCTAACCCTAACCCTATGTGATGTCGGCTAAATGAGCGTTCGGTGAAATGATTGTCGGTGAGTTGATCGGAACCCTAATTTGATAGGGTCCAATAAACGGTAGGTATATTTATCTTCTAAACAAAGTTCTTTGGGTGTTGGATCTTTTTGCATGGTTAATATTGACACTTCGTTGAAGCTACACTAGTGTTTGTTCATTTATTAGCAGGAATTCCCTCTTTTCGTGTACTGGATTTGTTATGTTTCATGAGGCGGCATGCATAGACAGTCTAGAAACCCCATTAACGCACTTCCAGCTATTGTATCGCGTCCAAATATTTGAAACCAAAGGCCAAATTTCTCCACCAAATTCTTTCGAATGTATTGCTGACGTTGAAAAAAAGAACGTTTTTTGTTCGACAGTTGTTTCTTACATAATGGAAAGAAAAAAGAAATAAATTATTTTATTTTATTTTTTATTCTTAAAGAGACTTAAGTTATCAGGCAATTGATGGTGAAATGTCGTCATTAATTATGTCTCATATGGGATTTCACATGACCCAATCCGATTTTCGCGTCAAGTTTTTTTTTACGTGAAATCCCATATTTTCTCACGTTCAAAATTTTATATATAAACCCTTATTATTCGCTCTATGCTTCCCATTCTTTTTTGGGCGGGCACTGTTAGGCCTCGACAGTAATCTGATAATGTTTAGATGTTTATTGTTTGGCCAGACCGGTAGCGGTAGTGCCCTTTGGTACGCACCATTAGGCCTCTACAGTAACTAGACAATGTCTAGACGTTTATTGCTCGGTTAAATAATTTATCCGGCAGGTACTATGTATACATTAATGGAAAATATTCCATATTATTGCCGCAGTTTATTATTAAAATCATGTGAGACGTAAAAATTTTACGTATTAAAATTCATTTTAAAAATTTTTATGCCCGGAAATTACATAGAAAAAAATTTACATATTGCAAATTCAATTAAAAATAATAGTGGAAATGATAGTGTATTTCCTTCTTGTTATCAAATTCAGATATTATAAATGTGGGTATAAAATATGGTGCTGCTGATTAGTAATAGATTTTAAAGGTAGTTGTTGGGCTAATAACCTTGGAATACAGGATAAATGTAATAAATTAGTGATTAGAATAATACATACCCGAATTCTCATAATATTGCTCTAGACCATTATTAATTCTGCTGTCGTCATTAAGTTTGAATCTAAAATAAAAAAAATCAAATTAATGAATACTAAAAAAAAAAAAATCAAATCAATGAATACTATAATATTTCATAATTAAATATGAATAGGGCCACACACAAAGTTGATTTTTCGTTTTGCAATACACGGAATTCAAAATTCCCAGTCGGTTGGTTGGATTCCTTTTTTTAATCTACAGTAAATTAATAGACTCATGTTTACGTCTAAGGCTGTAAAGTTGATTTTTCGCTTTGTATAACATGGAATCAAAAATTGGGTTGGAAGTCGAATCTTTTTCTATTAGTTTTACGGATAATTTTGGAAAACAAGATCTCTATCAATGACAACGGAGTAATTTATGAAAAAAACTAAATGGCAAAAATAGAATAATTGACACAATTGGGGTTAAAAAACTTGAAAAATTGAAAAAAATAGGCCAGTAGGTAATGCAAAACGAAATATCAACTTGCGTGGCCTAATAAATACCATTGTAAATTTTAGGATAATCTTTGTAATGCTTTCTGGATTTGTAAGAGTCCCATTTGTTGCACAGCTTAATAGCTGGATATTCTTTCAAATATCGTGTAAAAGAAGCATGGATATTTTAACTTTATATTCCTTCCTGTCTATTTGTTTTAACCATATGAAAAATTTTGCAAGGAAAGTTTTCGAACTCATAATTGAGTATGTCTCTATATCCATCAACTGCTCGTAACCATTTTGCCATACATTTGTCCATATTTTGTACTCGCGAGAGTTTAAAGAGCTCTTAGTTGGTAGTTTATTATATGATATTGAAGTATTAAAGAAGAGTTGGATCAAAACACAATCGCTCCTTTATTATTATATACCCATCATTCGAATTATCAATGCTTATTAAAGAGAGTTTATTTGGCAATAATATGGTTCCGTCTGTGTATATGTCATACCTGCCGGATAAACTAGTTATCTGCAGATAACAAGAAAGTACTCTACCCAGAGTTTTGGGCAATTAAGTTATCTTTATTGTCCTTATTGTTAAGCAGTCCAGTAACGTCCACTTTTTTGGGAGAAGTTAGTAAAATTTCTACTAACTTGTCCTTTTTCTTTGTTTTACTAATTTAGCGGGTGTTTATAAGTGCATTATTGTGTTAAAAAATTTTAATATTTTAAAACAACTTTACGTTGCGGTGAAACTTTCGTGAAGTCTCTAGTATTTTAATTATTATCTAATATGTTAAAATAGAAAACACCCTTTTATATTTACTAGATGCTTATTGTTTTTTAATGCTTATACAAAAATTTTTGGCAGAATTTGCTTATAACACTAAACAAATTTTTTATACAATTATCAAATTAAAACACTAGTTTAGCTTACGCACTACAGGCGAGTTATTTCATTTTTGCAAACCAAAGGACCGAAATAATTGTTAATATTATACATCTGTATATGATAATTATTACTATAAAAATGATATTAACCATTATTGTATTAGAAGTAATTCAGGAAATTATAAACCTAAAAAACTATACATTATGATTAACACTATGTCTACAATCTTAAGGATTTTGGTGCCATCATTCAAGAATTCTATAATTATGTTCTTTAATCTAAAATATAACATATATTTAAAAAAAGATTGATGAATATCCTTTGCGATT